CCTCCGTAAACAAATATAAGATGTTTTGGACATTTCAATTTGGACCACATGCGGACTAAAATAAGTGAACAGACACACTGAAATGCGTCTATATACATCTGAATCAGAAAAAAGGAAGAACATCTTTATTTGTGAACGGAGGGAGTACAATAAAGAAATACAGTTTGGTAACAGCAAACCAAAACAGGCGTGCAGTATAGCAGGTTCGGAGTTCCCATTTTCAGTACATCACCCATAAGAAGATCAATAATGAAATGTGGGAGGACATGCCAAAGGGGAGGTGCTCTACCATTTTCTTCAAAAGAAGTGCTCCACATTGATGCATAATATGTTTAACACTTATTTGCAGCACTTCATCTGTCTTGTTTACTTTTCTTATATGTTCAGTCAGGCAGAAACATGACTGCATGACTGCTAGAAATGATCACACTTGCAGTAGCATACATGTAAGGCAAAGATGAGGTGGCTATTACCATTCCAAGATAGAAAGTATGCCAAATATAAAATTTATAATAAATATTCCCTCTGTTCCGAATTATAAGATGTTCTAACCTTTTTCTGAGAATTATAAGATGTTCTAACTTTTTTCTGATTCAGGTGTATATAGATGCATTTTAGTGTGTTTGTTCACTCATTTTTATCCATATGTAGTCCATGTTAAAATATCGAAAACGCCTTATAAAAGTGAATGGAGTGAGTTCATTGGACAGTCTGGTAAACAAAGTTATCAAGAATGTAATATCACAGACCCAGCAACTTAAATGTAACATGGCACAAGACAACTAAAACATATCACCATTAAACGTCAGATAGCTACACTGATTTGGCATCTGATTTTTTCAAACGATGGCATCGTCCGCAAGGCTCCGGAACATTTAACTTGACTGTAGAGGGAACATTTCTCTCAATGTACATTTTATCGAAAAAGGGTTTTCCCCCACTTTGTATACAAAGCAACCAACCGAACTATACAGGGATAGGTGCTGGGGCAGAAGCAGCACAGACACGCCCAAAAGAAACGACAGAGAAAGATCAAAAGAAACAAATGCCGACAACGGCGGATCAACAAAAATGAAGAAGCCTCGCGATCGCTGCACCCACCGGAATCTACCCCTAGGCTCCAAGACTCCGAAGCGTCGGCACCTATCAACACCTCCAAGAAGGAACGCGACGATGACGACGCTGCTGCCAAGGGTTTCCCCGGGTACACGACGAGGCGAGAGGCAGGGTAGCCCCCGACGCCCTCCCGGAAGGTCAGGTGGCACCCTCAAGCGCCACCGCGCCGGTGTCGGCCACGCCGACAGGGGTTTCCCCCGATCCCAACCCGCACCTCGGGCGCTCCGGATCCATCCACCAAACCAACCACCACCCTGCGCCAACGCGGTCATGAGGCCCCCACGCCGTCTCACCACGGCACCACGAAATGAGGGCAGTGCGGCGAAGGATCAGAGCCAGGACTAGGGCATCAGCACCATCGGCACGCGGGAGGGCCCTACCTCCACCGTCAGCGACGGTAGCCGTCCGGACGCAATAGCAGGAGCACATCAGGCCCGGCCTAGCCCTCGTGGGCCCGTAAAGCTCCCGCCTTCGCGCTGCTGCCGGCACGCCATCGGCGCCGACGCCCCATATCCGAGCCGCTCCTCTTCCTCACCGCGCCGCAGACAACGAGGCCACGCCGGGGGCCGGCCTGCGAGGACCCAGATGGGGCCCGCCAGGCCCAGATCTGGGCCGGGGGCGCGACGTCGGTCACCCAGCACCACCACGCCGCCCCGCCGCCAAGGAGCAGCGCCGCCACCACGTCTGCCGCCGGCCACCCCGCCGGGTCACCGGACCGCCGCCAAGCCAAGCGACACCGCCGTCGCCCCCCTGCCCCGGGCCAGGAGGACGCGCGCGCGGGGGAGGGAGATCCTGCCGCCGCCGGCACCCCCCGGGCCGGAGCCGGGGGCGCCCGCCGGCGACGGCAGGGGAGAGGAAGACCGGAGCGAGGCCGAGAGCAGCGGCACGGGGGCCGCCCCGGCCGCCTCCCGGGGAGGCGGCGCGAGGGCGGAAGGAGGGGAGGGGGAGGAAGGGCGGGGGGAGGGAGGGCCGGCTCCGGGACGCGCGCCGGCGACGGGCAGGGGGAGGCGGCGGCGGCTGAATCTATGCGCCTTCACTATAGCTGAAACTTCCAGGGGACAGCATTTCCTGGCCGGTTTACTGACAGAACACCGGTAAGTAGCAGGACTAGTATCCACTGTAAGAGACTCATGTGACGTTGTATTCTCGAGAAGATGACATGCTAGCTCAACCATGCTCTTTTGGGGGAAGAAACCAATGATCTTCACACTCTTGAGGTTCCCATGGCAGTGTTGTGGCATTCGCCTCAGAGACGAGGGATCTCCCTCGAACCAGTCATACATCCACATGGATTGCTCGCATACCTGAAGATCAAAACCCAAAGTATTCAAATTGATGATCCAAACATGGTTATTAGATAATCGTTGCAGGATGCAGTGTTTCCTTTTTCTTTTTTTGAGGAAAAGGTGGACGGCGAACTTACATACAAGCGGAACGTCTCCAGGAAAGGAGAAGCATCAAGAAAAGGAACCAACGATAAATAATCATAGTCCCGGTGAAAATTCCATCGATTAATAAGAAGAATACTCAAGAACTTGAGGTGAAGGAATTTGCTGGATGCCGCCATTGGTGCATTGACTCTCTGCAAAATATGTCTCAGGTTAATTATTCCAACAGTCGGCTACTGTATATGTACGTTTGCCAACTTAAGACTAAGAGCATACCTCACAAGTACTGTAGAATATATGGTAAGAGTCTCGAGATTCGGCACACGTGAAGGAAGGTTGTCAGTAGCATAACTGATGGCACGGTTCTGCACCAACTGCACTTTCTTCACTTTCGACTCTCCAAATGAGACTTGCACCGGTTCACTTGGAGCTTCATGCATCCAGCCACCTCCAGGAAGCTGAGCCGCTGCAGCAGGCAAGGTATCTCCAGGCGAACTATATCATCGCAATATACGAGCTTCAGGTGCTCCAGGGCAGTGGAACCGGACAGAAGGCGCCCTAAATCCTCCCCTGTGACACGCACGTCGCGCAGATGCAGCGTTTTCAGGCTTCTCAAAGCAAGTTGAAATGTGAGACGCAAGGCGCATCTGAAAAGGAAGAGCTTCTGAATCGAGTCCCCACACCTGCTGTCAGATAGTACTCCCTCCGTTCCTAAATACTTGTCTTTCTAGAGATTTCAACAAGTGACTACATATGGCGTAAAATGAGTGAATCTACACTTTAAAATATGTCTACATACATCCGTATGTTGAGTCCATTTGAAATGCCTAGAAAGACAAGTATTTGGAAACGGAGGGAGTAGTGTGCATGGGAACTTAAACCTCGCCTCTTTCCACGATACTAGAAGCTCGAGTTCTTCAGTCCTCGGCGTAACAGCCATCTGGAGCCAGCTATCAAGACGATGATACGATTCAGCGCCATCAGGAGGAACATGGTAGTCAAGCTTGAGTTTCGTCACGGCATCAGCGCACGAGCGGTTCCTGAGCACACAGTCGATTTTGTTGTTGTAGTCTCTTATAATAGCATTTGATCCTGGTGTCTACAAATTTTCTTTCGGGCACATTTTTTCATTGGTGAAGGTGAGATTGGGATGGCATCTCCAGTAGCCTAGGGAGGAGCGAGAAACACAGGCGGCACGGGCAGCATCTTGCATCTGTAGTAAGGAATATATACGACACCATATGTCCTGCGTGCAAAAGCAGAGAAGCACCATGAGAATTAGAGGCAAAAGCTGGGAAAGGATGTCATAATCAGCAAGATTCAGCCAGCCAAGGTTAGGAACAAGTTGCAAAATGTTCTTGTAGGCATAAACACAAGGAAAAACAATGTTAAATTTGGAGTTCACGGCAAAATAAAACAAATGACACAGCCCACACAGAGAAGTGTTCTAGTACATCTAGTCCCTAACCAAGTAAGAAGAAACTCTAGTCCGTAATAAAATTTGTAACAGTTTTTCTGCTGGAGTTATAACTGCAACAGAACAAAAAAAATCTTGCAGCTATTCTACTGATCGTGGCAATATCAGAACATACCTATGGAACGACTGAATCCAGATGTCTTGCTCCTTTGCTGCCATGGGAACTAACATCCGGTCGGCAGGGTGGGCTGTCTCTTTTAGATACCGATGAAGCAGCATTCCATCCTTCTGCAACACATCAGTTTTAGAGTCCCGCTTCGGTCTGCAACACATCTCTACTCCTAATGTCTCAGTTGGTAGTCTCCGTTTCGGGTTTATTTTCGTCCCACCGACTACGGTAATTTTTGGTATTTGCTCCCACCTCCCGCTCAGCCGCGATGAACCAGAAAAAACCCTCCGTCCGAGTCCCCCACCCGCCCCCACTCCTCCCGTCGCACCCATCTACTCCCTCCGTTCGGAATTACTTGTCTCGGAAATGGATGTATCTAGAACTAAAATACATCTAGATACATCCGTTTCTACGACAAGTAATTTCGAACGGAGGGAGTACAAGCGAAGGAAAAAAAGCCTACGAAAATTAACCGACGAAAAAAAACCTACGAAAAAAACCAGCGAAAAAAAACCGTCTGGCAACGTGCGAACGAGCGAGCGAAGCCTTCGCCCTCGAGCGACGCCACACCAGATCCTTCGCCGTCGCCCTCGCAGCCGCCGCCGATCCCCTCCTCCATCTCCCTCCCTCAAACGCCGCCGCCCGTCTCTGCCGCCCCCGCCACCTCCCGTCGCGGCCGCCGCCCGTCGCTGCCGCCCCCGCCACCTCCCGTCGCGGCCGCCGCGCCCAGCTCCAGCCACGGCCGTCGCGCTCACCTCCAGCCGCGGCCGCCGCCCCCACGTCCCACCGCGGCCGCTGCCCTGCCCCCTCGAGCAGGGCGTCCTCAAGTGCGGCAAGGGCCTCAAGCTGCAGAAGCGCCTGGCCTCGAGCGTCCTCAAGTGCGGCAAGGGCAAGGTCTGGCTCGATCCCAATGAGGTTAACCCACCCCCTTCCTCTCTCTCCCTCGCCGAGCGTCTTGATTTTCTCGCCTATTCCGTAGATCTGTGGGCAGGTGGTGCTCCATGCGGTTTAGGTGAATCAAGGCGGGTAGATCCCTGCTTGCTTGTGCGGCGCTTGCTCATAGATCACATGAGCAGCCTTGGGTTGCCGGGATTAATGTTCTTGGGATAGCTGATTTTTTAGCTGAAACATCATATAGCTGACCACTCTTATGGATTTGATTTTGTTCTGATGTCCCATGATAGCTATGGGATTGTGATGTTGCCACTCTGATTGTGTTTCAGATAGCAGATGAATCGGTGAGTCATGTAGATGCTTCTAAAACGCGACTCACTTAGATTGAGCATCCACGGCTGCTCTTATTTTTCCGTTGCGTGGTTAATGCATCTCCAAGTGTTTTACCCTGTTAAATTTACTTGCTTAGCTGCCAGAATTTGATAGTACGAATCTATATAGGTACAGTGGAGTCTAATGTAATTGATTGTGCATATAGTTCAATATTATGTGGTCTCTCCATGTGATAATTATGTTTCCTTGCAGGGCACTGGCGGACTGCAAAACACGTACGACAAGAGTTCGAACATTGTTTAAGAAATCCTTGCAAGCATGTTTCTCCATTAGCTTAGCCATGCTAACTCGTTGAAGTTAATTCTACTGATGAAGCTAATAGAGTTGCTGCTTCAGATGTTGCTTTACCTTCATGCGCAATTGACTTCTTGCAATGAAACTAATAGAGTTGCTGGTTTCGGTGTTCTTTTACCTTCATGTGCACTAACACAACACAACATAGTTGGATTATACTGAAGTGGTTGCGTCGTTAGCTTAACCATGATAACTCCATGTAAATCCTCTGCTAGTGACAGAGTTTAGGTGTTATTTTACCTTTAACGCATTAACGTGTGTGTAAGCAGTCTTGTCTGTTAAGGTTCAATTGTTGCTTCATTTTGTGAATGTCAATCTCGTGGACCTAGCTCCCAATTATGTTCCTCAGTTTGTATTAGTAAATTTGTAGTTCACACGCACTTGAATGTCAGGGTATTGCAATCACATCCATTCTTATGCTGTATGTTGTTTGTTTATAATAGGAAGTTTTTGTGTTAGTTTTAACTCATATTTATGCGTACTTTGTACCTCTTATGTCCATTGATTCATAACTGAGCATAACTGTGATGCATTGTTTGGCTAAAACTTGCAGGGCAGAACATCCAGAAGCTGGTAAAGGGTGGTTTCATCATCAGGAAGCCTCAGAAGATCCACTCCAGGTGTCGTGCAAGGAGGGCACATGAGGCCAAGCAGAAGGGCCGTCACTCTGGATATGGTTTGTAGCTGCAACTTTAATTGGCACGATGGTGTTCATTTTTGGGGATATATGTTGTAACCTGTGATTCTGTTCTCTGCACAGGTAAGCGTAGTGGCACCAGGGAGGCTAGGCTCCGCACCAAGATCCTATGGATGCGGAGGATGTGCGTCTTGAGGCGTCTTCTGCGCAAGTACCGTGAGGCGAAGAAGATCGACAAGCACATGTTTCATGACATGTACCTGAAGGTCAAGGTAACATGTTCAAGAACAAGAGGGTCCTCATGAAGAGTATCCACAAGTCCAAGGCTGAGAAGGCAAGAGAGAAGACCCTCTCTGACCAGTTTGAGGCCAAGCGTGCCAAGAGCAAGGCAAGCAGGGAGAGGAAGATTGCGAGGAGGGAGGAGAGATTTGCTCAGGTAAGATGATGTTTTCACTTGAGCCCTTTCTATTTCCTTGCATAGTTAGATTTGTGTTGCATTATATTGGTACTGAAATACATGATGCATGCACATGTCTCCTCTTGGATGTTTCAGAGATGCTTATGCAGAGTTTCTTTAAACATTTTGGTTCACAGTACCAAGTAATGACTACCAACTTGTTTAATTCTGCAGGTGCGGGTGTTGCCGGTTGATGGTGGCCTAAGCATTTGAGTCTAACTGAAAGTGAACCGGAGCGATGTGCAGAAAAAAAAATTAGCACAGAGACTGAATTTGTATACTACTTAGAATTTATTAGGTATACTCCCTACACTTGTATATCACTTCTGAATACAAGTTCAGGTTATTACGTAGTACTATTGAATTTTAGAATTGAAGGTTACTGAATTTTGTACCAAGTCTACTGTTATGTATAGGAAGAACATGATCTAAAATATTGATAATGCATATAAACGGTGATTATCTACTCTTATGATGAAGATTCCTTGCTTCCCTGTTAAATACATGTGAACTACAGGGAATTATTTTCTAACATTCGTACTGGAAGAAACTATTTTCAGTTTTCAGGTTATGCCTTTCTTGCAATGATTGCATCTGTGAAGTTGATGCTTAATTACTTCCTACATTTAGAAGATCGTAACTTTTACTATACAAACATGCATGGTGAGATGAAGCGTTGATGAGTGTTGTGCATTTTGCAGATCAGGTTATATTTCCTTGGTAGCATGGCAGCAGCACCCAATCAGACCACAACCGCGGCAGGCGTGCTCTGCGATCTTGTCCACCGTCTCCAAGGCAGGTACGACCTACCCCGCCACTGAGAGCTGCCCCTCCTCATCACCATCAACGCCGGTGAGCTCTCCCTCTACTCTCGCCGCTACCCAGCTCCATCCACTATCTTCTACAATATTGTTGCGACTTTGTAATGGCTAGCCCAATTTTCTTTATTGCTGTTATGCCTTTTTTGCGAGTCAACGATTTTCTTTCAAATCTACAAATGGGTGCGTTTGTCTAACCATTATGTAAATGGCTGGAATCCATAATATGTGAAATTCCGGCACAGTTGCATGAAAAAGTGAGTATTGAGTAGGGATGTAATTCTTGCCGATTCAAATATCAGAATGTGTTCCAGAGACATAATAAAACCATCCTGAATCTTACGTTTTTAGCATGCTGAGATCTATACTACCATATATATACTTCTAATTACATGGTATGGAGATTTTGAATATTGGCACCTGATCTTTTATCTTATAATAGATCAGATGTTCCTGGTCAGCATCAAGGAATTGTTTTGAGACTTGTATCCATTTTTTCCCTGGTAAAATGTATGACAATATACCGTCCATGTTGGTGACCTATTGATCTTCTAATTTCTATATTCGCAAAACAAGATCTTCTAATTTCTAAAGATGTCTCTGACTTGCTCACATGCAAATAAATATAAGCTGCATCAAGTGAGCTTTCCTGTCAATAAGTAGCAATCAACCAAAAGAAAAGAATAATGCTCATCTGACTTGTTGGTTGTTTCTCACAATTATTTGATTGCCTTATAACCTTCAATTTAACATAGTGTTGCAGTTTGTGGCAAACTTATGGACTGGTCATACCTGTATTGGACGTTGCTACTGAACAACAAGTAGCTTCTCTTGTCTTCCTATTACGCCAACGAGAGCAGCCATCCTATTACGTGAGAAACCACCCCATGATTCCCTCCGCTGTCTGACCATTGCTATGATGGAAAGTTGAAAATACATCAGTGCAGAGTGCACTCGCTGCCATCAGATGCACTAGGAGTCAATGTTAGACCTTTCAGCCTGAGCATTGATAGTTGTGGATGACACTAGGAGAGTTGGGACAATTTTCGTTGGTTTATTTCTCACACAATGCCATGCCAACCTGAGGGGTTGGGGATACATATTTATAGGCTGCTAGCCAGCCAAGGCATATGCTAAGATGCTGCTAAGATGCCAGTCTAAGATGCTAGTCTAAGATGCTAGTCTAAGATGCTAACTGACAGTCCTTGATGGTCAAGAACAGAACTCTATCCTAACAGCCAGTCCTTGATGGTCCAGGACTTTATCCTCCTAACTGCCACAAGGACCATGTGCTGCAGCCCCACAAGGACCCTAGTACAGACTTATTCATCATTCTCCCCCTAAGTCTTGTACGTCGTCTTGTGGGAGAGTTGAATCATCCCAATCCTGGAGCAAAGTTCGAGGAACTTGACCCTCCCAAGGGGCTTAGTGAGCAGGTCTGCGAGCTGATCCTTGGTGTTGATGTAGCTTGCCTCGATGCTCCCTTCTTCCACACAGCTGCGGATGAAGTGATACCTCAGTCGGATGTGCTTGCTCCGTTCGTGGAACACGGGGTTCTTTGCCAGGGCCAGGGCGGACTTGCTGTCCACCAGGAGCTGCACCGTTCTGGTGTCTTGAACGAGAAGATCACCAAGCAGTCGAGCAAGCCAGAGCGCCTGAGTACAGGCGGTGGAGGCCGCTATGTACTCAGCCTCACAGCTGGACAGGGCCACCACCTGCTGCTTGACTGATTGCCAGCTCACGAGACACTTGCCGAGGAAGAGGAGGATCCCGCTCGTGCTCTTGCTGGTGTCGATGTCGCCGGCGTGGTCGCTGTCGCTGTACCCGACGAAGTGTGCCGCCCCAGGGCACCTAGGGTAATGGAGGCCGTGGTCGAGGGTCCCTGCTATGTAGCGGACGATCCTCTTCACTGCCTGCTGGTGTTCTGACGTTGGTCGCTCCATGAACCGACTGACATAGCCGACGGAGAATGCCAAGTCCGGCCGTGTGTGAGTGAGGTAGCGAAGGCTCCCCACAAGGCGTCGGTACTGCGTAGCATCCACTTCCTCCGTCGTGCTGTCGCGACTTAGTTTCAGCCTCTCCTCCATCGGAGTGAGAGCTGGATGGCAGTCGGTGAGCCCAGCTAGCTCAACGATGCGCTTGGCGTAGGCGGACTGTCGAAGCGCGATCCCGGAGTGGTCCTGGTGCACCTCAATCCCTAGATAGAAGGAGAGGAGCCCCAGGTCACTCATCTGGAACGTGGCCTTCATGTCTTCCTTGAACGCCGCCACCTCTGCATCTTTGGTGCCGGTGATCACCAGGTCGTCAACGTAGACGCCCACCAGCAGGGCATTTCCTCCACTTCCCCGTCGGTAGACGGCAGCCTCATGCGGGCTCTGCTCGAAACCCATCTTCTTCAGCGTGGAGTCCAGCTTGGCGTTCCACGCCCTGGGTGCCTGCCGCAGGCCATAGAGAGCCTTGCGCAGGCGGAGCACCTTGCCCTCCTGGCCGGGAATCGTAAACCCCGGTGGCTGATGCACGTAGACTTCCTCCTTCAAGTCGCCATTGAGGAATGCCGACTTAACGTCCATGTGGTGGACACGCCAGCCCTCCTGGGCAGCCAGCGCAAGGAGAAGTCGCACGGACTCCATCCGTGCCACGGGAGCGAAAGCGTCGTCGAAGTCGACTCCTTCCTGCTGCAAGAAGCCTCGGGCCACCAAACGAGCCTTGTGCTTGATGATGGCGCCGGCTCCATCCCTCTTCAGCTTGAACACCCACTTAAGGGTGATTGCGCGGTGACCTCGAGGGAGATCAGCAAGCTCCCAGGTGCGGTTTTGCTTGACCGCATCCATCTCCAACTTCATCGCGGCGCGCCATGCCGCGTCTCTCTCGGCCTCTGCAAAGGACCGTGGTTCGCCGTCTTCACACACGAGCTGTAGCTGCGCCTCCAGGTCACGTGGCACCAGTCCTGGCACCGGCTGGTCGCCGAGCACATTATCCATCGTACGGTACCGCAGCGGTTCGCCTCCATACCATGCGTCGACCCGCTCCTCGTCGTGAGTGAGCGGGGAAGCGAACTTCATCGGGTTGTGCTCTGCGTGAGCTGGTGCTGATGAAGACGAGCCCGGAGTGGCGACCGCCGGGGCTGGAGTATGCGGCGTCGCCGGTTGTGGTGTCGTCGGTGTAGCAGGCGCCGGAGTCGATGTAGTTTTGGGGGCCGGGGTAGACGTGCCCGGTGAAGAGGAGCTGCTTGCTCCCCCAGCTTCCTTGAAGTGAGCGTACTCGACAATGAAGTCGTCATACGTCGGCGTCGAGCCGTCGTCCACCGCCTTGTCCCATTGCCACCCTCGCCCTTCGTTGAACACGACGTCTCGCGCTGTGCGCACACGTTGTGTCTTTGGGTCGAGGATGCAGTAGGCCTTTGAGCCCTCCGCGTAGCCGATGAAGACTCCCGGAGTGCTCCTGTCGTCGAGCTTGCCGATGTGGCCGAGCTCCTTGGCGAACGCAAGGCAGCCAAAGACCCGCAAATGAGAGACCGCCGGCTTCCGCCCATGCCAGGCCTCGTACGGAGTTCTGCCGTCGAGTGCCTTAGTAGGAGAGCGGTTGAGGATGTAGACGGCCGTTAGCACCGCCTCTCCCCAGAAGACAGCCGGCATCCCTCTCTGCTTGAGGAGAGCCCGAGCCATCCCCACAACCGTCTGGTTGCGCCGCTCGACGACGCCGTTTTGCTGCGGGCTGTACGGCGCGGAGTAGTGGCGCTGGATGCCCTCATCGGCGCAGTACGACGCGAATTCAGCCGCCGTGAACTCGCCGCCGTTGTCAGTGCGCAACACGCGCAATTTGCGGCCGCTCTCCGCCTCCACACCAACCTGCGCGCGCCTGATGGCGTCCGCTGCTTCTCCCTTACTGCCGAGGATCATCACCCACATGTAGCGGGAGAGATCGTCGACGAGCAGCAGGAAGTAGCGTCGACCTCCTGGTGTGGCTGGCGTCACCGGGCCGCACAGGTCTCCGTGCACGAGCTCCAGCTTCTCCTTAGCCCGAAAACTCG